AGACTATTTACAAACTACAGGAGAGTATATATTTGCAATCTGTGATGTTCGTTCATTTAAAGCTTAGCATTATTTTACCACGTTGGAGAACCAGAGTTAATGTGCTTGATTGGAGCTTGAGAACCTGATATTACATGACAGCATGGTTTGTTACTGTAGTTCAGATAGAAAATGTGCAGTTCTGATGTGCATTTTGACTGCTTGAGGATACATGTGTGTCAACAGTGGAAGATCAGCACGTGTGCTAAAGTTTGCAAACTTAAACATCTATAATATATATAGATGTATGAAAGTTCAAGCAGCTCTGTAAAATTCTAAACTTGAAAAATATTCAGCACTCTGCATGTCCCGGCATGTCCTGTGTGCACAGATTGTGTTCCCGGGTTCCAGGTGACGTAGGCTCAAGTCGCCCAAATGAGAATCTTCACCCTCTCCTCTTACTCAACACTCCCATCTTGTGATCTTGTGCGAACGAGGTGAGACTTCGGGTCATGCTCATCAGTTGACCTTCTAAATACATTAAGAGCCTTATGAATCTATATTCAGACTGTGCATTAAGATTCCTGGAGGTCTAAAGAGCAAAGATGGTCTGGATTCAACTGAAAACGTAACTCAGATTTACATTTTAAACACACTCCTTCCTGTTCAAAGGTATGTGAACTAAAAGGGCATGCAGAACATATGTTCATGTATTAAATAACTTAAATGAATATATGGTGTTGGGGTAACATGATCCCGCTTGGCTGTAGCAGGTGTATCTCAGTACAATGTCTCATATAAATTAGTCGATGGGAAGGCGGTTTATAAAAATAAATGTTTAAGGATATTTTAATTTGGCACTACAGGTTTATTACAATAGTTTTTACAGGTAGTTTATGTCAAGGTGCAAATAAAAATGGATTATGTTTTACTGTTTCCTTTCTCTGCAGAATGATCTATTATATCTACTACTGTAACTCTTGAATTTGAAACCATTTGATGCAAATCAGCATCACAAAAACAAACATTAAATGTTTTACGGTATTTTAAGAGTACAATTCAAATGGGAAAGCAAAATCCAGTTAAATTACATCTTAATTACACTTTTAAAACAGTTTTTAAATAAGCAGGAACATAATATACCCATTTTGTTCTCACTACAGTACACTGCTGCCTGTCCATCTTAGAATTAATTTTAATATATCACTCATGAATAAGGCATTATGTGATCTTACAGGATTAGATGTCTCATAATGACTCATCAGAGACCTTTGGTGGCAAGTGGATCTGCAGAGCCACAATAAAGCAAAACAGGAAGGTGCGATAAGGGGAGAGGGTACCGACCTCCACTGTGATAGAATAAAGTATTGAATTATTTGGATTCAAAGAAGATGGAAATAAACTGTCAGTGCTGTTATGTGCAGGTCCGTTAAATAATTTTGCCTTAACTAAAAAAAAAAAAAAAGGTAGAGGGGGAAGAAAAAAAGAAACTACTGTACGTTATCCCGACCACAGTCCAGCTGTCTGAGTAATAAGTTGGATGAAATCTGCATAAATTTACATCTGAGGATAAAGGTGGGTGGGGAACTTGTTTGAATATCTGAGAAGCTATCAGAAGAAAAACAGGAATAATATCTGAGCTACAATGGATGATACAGAGATTAATCAAAGTCGAGCAAACTCTTTCAGAAACCCCATAATTGGATTTTCTTTATCTTTGTGAGTAATTACAAAAGGACATGTTAGGAGCTGCTTCTGCTCATAACTTTGGTGGCATTGACTCCAGTCAGGTCGAAATATTTCTCACGGTATCCCCGTTTCCATAAGAACGTATTTAAATCTGTATTTATGAATAACACGATGACGAATGCTTAAATTCATAGTGTGCTTGTGTACAGAGCCGACTGCAGTTTAATGCAAAGTTTTTTTATATTGTTTTAGATGGAATGACTAATAACTTCTTAGCAAACTTAGACACAATTTACACACACACACACACACACACACACACACACACACACACACACACACACCTCTATTTGCTGCCACCAATTAAATATATTTCCAAAGAGAAGGCAGATGTAGGTGGCATCTCCCACACACTGGCCTTATCACACAGGCAGGAATGAGCCACAAAGGACCAGTGTTCTCAGCCTCCCACATGAAAGCAACTAGTTTGAGTCATTACCGATATATATATATATATATTGATGACGGTTTACTTTCACAGAGGCCCTCATTATAAACTAATACACCTCCACTGGCCTGCTGAATTGTTCTTTGTGTGTGTGTGTGTGTGTGTGTGTGGCTACACAAATAACACAGATAACTCTTATAACTCTAATATCTCAAAAATAGTTTAGTTTGGCTAATTAAGGTAGTTAACTCCTGCTCTGATAATTAACCAATTCTCACGTTGCGCCTTTCTGAAGCATTCCTGCCATTCATTACAGCCACCTTCAGCTGATTCTTGTTTTGGGGTTACTCTGCATATAACTTCCAGGTTTGTCATAATTCTCATTTTCTTCATGCAGGTCTTTTTGCGAGCTGGATTTCTGTTTTGTTTTTGGGTTTTTTGTTTTTCTGTTTTTTAACCTGGGCTTTCTTGAGCCCCTATTTGAACATACCCAAACCTACCACAGCAAGTCACTGTTTCAGCAACACAAAACTCTCAGTTGCTTCCCATTAACTAACACTTGCATTCTTGCAGCTCAATAAGAGAATTTAACTTTCATTTTTATTCACCCCTCTCTTATTGAGGGGTGTTTATACGGTTTATCCCAAAGTCGAGGGTATTCCTGAAAGTTCAAGTAACAAAACAAATGTTAAGTAACCAGCTCAGCTTAAATATATAAAATGCTGTGTAGCTCAATAAAATAAAAAAAACAATGAAAATCTGAATTTAAAATCACTAGTAATAGAAATTTTTAATAAATGACAAAATAAAATAATCAAAAAACAAGAAAGGAAAAACAGAATATGAAGTGGCTTACTCAGTGCAGTAAGAACAGCATAGCAAATATCAGATGATGTATAGTATAGTGTACTGATGTACTAGTGTACTGCAGGGTTGAAACAAGCACCTACAAAACCCAGTTCTTAGTTGAAAATCATGTAAGCAGTGCGTTGTATCACAAATGATTTTAGATGTAGCTTTTTCAGTGCAGCATAGTTGTCCCAGACCTTGACACCAGAGGGAGGCAGTGGTGTGAGGGGTCATGTTCATACACAATCCATGACCCATAGGTGGTGGTTGGCTTTCGACGGCTCAGCTCAGATTGCCGATGCAGAGGAGCAGAAAGAGTGATGTAGTCCCCTCTCCAGAAACTTTCACTTTAATCATTTATATGTACCATGGAGGTGTTTAAAGATAATAGCAGAGTGCTGCCTTTATCCACTTCATTATATATTATAGTTTTGGAATACCTTGATATTATCGTTTAACTAATTTAAGGCTGATGGGTTTTCTGTCATTATCACACAGTATAAATATATTTCAACTATATTTTATCTGAGTCTGTAGAGATTTACTTTTCACAATCACCTCAAGTTCTCCAAAACTGCTGTGATGGGCTATGAAGGTAGTTTGGCAGCATTTAAGCAGAATTTATGCTCGGCCCGAACCAGTTTAATAGCCGGACCAATGAGTACTACTCATGAATCTGAAGGGGTTCCTCGGACCATGTCATTGCTTGGCTCCTTTTCCAGGAGCAGTTGAAAATAAAGAAAATAATGACCTGGCACTCCCACTCTTTGCCCCTCACACACAACCCGCGTTTTTATCCCGTCACATCAGTCACTTTGAAAAGCTGGGAGTGACCCGTGTAATGATGTTGAGTTACTCGAAGCCAAACATTCTTGGCCTCTGGCCTCCAGTAGTCTTTTCAGGATTGCAACCCCTCTGACCCATTAGTAACAGTGAGGCAAAGTAATTTGAAAGAAGGAAAAAAAAAAAAAAAGAGTTTGTGATAGGCCATGGCATATTGTCAGTATCTATTAGAATGGTATGAGGTTTCTTTTAATTGTTCCTGTTTGGCTAACTCTTGATTATTTTTAAGCTTGTGGGATGCATGTTCCTGTCTACTTTGTGCCAGGGATATTTTTTGCCCTTTTATGATGGTGCATAACCCCAGGCCACTTTGCACCCCATAGTAAACTGTGGGAACCTAAAATGCATTTTTCACTGGAAGGATAATCTTTAGGTTTCTTGGTCATGGACAAAGCAAATTGATATTTATTGGTAACGTTCAGAGTTTCTGGATTATGTGAAATTGTTCTATAATGAAAGCAGAACAAGCAAAAAAACACAACACCTGCTTGACTTGCAGTTTAACAACTTACTTTGGGGTGATCATGTTGTAGCAGACTGGAATAGCGTGTCTTTCACATAGCTTGTTGACCTAAGATTAGTCTGAAAGCTCAAGTAACCTCCACAAGGCCTGAACCATATCAGAAAAAAGCAGCCGCTCACTGGTGCCTCACTGGTTAGGACACATTGGATGTGGACTAATAGTAGTGGTTATTTTCTCTATGGGAAAACTAAATGGTCCCGTTCATGGTTTCAGATAAGTGGAGAAATGGATTGACTAATCTTTTCAGAGTAGTCAATAGTCATCAGACAATTTTATTTTGTGCATACGTGTAAGGCGACACTCTGTATCTCTTGTCTCAGAGGATTGGTGTGCCCGTGGCTTAGCACACCGATCTGAACTTGGATGCCTTGTGCCAACAAACAATTGATTGAGCTTTTAACAGGCAACATTAGTTGTTTTGGAGTACATCAGATTTTAACTTTTTTGTTTTGTTTTTTACATTTTTATTTTGTTGTATATTTTACATCACATTTCCTCAATTTGAGTATTCACCTAGTCTCTCTTTGACTTTTGAGGACCACATAAAAAACAAGTCTTTGTTTCTCTGCACGGGCTGCAACCTGCATAACTGAAGAGACTCTGCAGATTTGCAGATTTTTATTGGGATTTGTCTCCATTTGCAGTCTACTGGTACTTTCAGTTGTTGACGTGTTGGAGGTTGTCATTCATCTGCCTTGTTAGCCATTATACTTTTCGCTGAAAACCAGTTGTTCCGAAGAGCTTAGACAATTTCCTTTTTCCACTGTGATGATCCATCCTCTGGACAGGACCTCTTGATTGGAAACTTGTTGCAATCATCTGATGATCATGATCAGCCTGAGTGATTGTTAGTGGAAGACCTCAGTCCTCTAGGCTTGCCCAGATCTCACTGTCAGAGGTGTATAGGAAGCACCACAGCTTTATAGAGTGCTTGCTTTGTTTTTCTTGACGTCCAGACCTTCTCCAACATCTATTTGGCTGTAGCTCCAGAGCTGACGCCACCTAGAAATGCAAGTTTGTGTTGGATGACCATGGTTTTTGGTTGACAACAGGCACCATTTCTTGCATCAAGTGTTTAGGGAGTGAGTGACAGGCTGGACGATGATGCACCAACTGGAGGGTGGTGGTCGGTCTTATTCCTGGGGTTCCTAGTCGTGATCAGTTGACCTATAGAAAAAAATAGCGAGTGGAGACATCTTTTAAGTATTCGAGATATGGACATTGCTTTTATTTTTAATGTATGAAAGGACGAGCATCTCACCTTGCAGTTGCTATGGTAGCGAGAAGTGTAGTGTTACTTTCTTTGGTAAGTAATTGATTAACATACTCCATTACTTTCAGGAAAAGTAATCAGTAATACATCAAATCAGTATTTGTCTACATGATTTATAACCCTCCATTTCACAATCTCATTGTAGGCAAACACTTTGGAATCCAAAGAAAATGTAGTGATCAACTTTTAAATTTTTTATTTATTTTTTTATTTATTAACTATACCTTGAATCTATTGAATGTGGTCGCCATTGTTAGTCCAGCAGGTTCAGTTGCCAACTTGTTCCAACTGTGCTAAACATACTGTTAAAAGCCATGGGTGTTGGTCTGCCTACAACACTCAATGGCGTCCAGCGGCTGACTGTCGGAGTGGTGTGTCGGGGTCCTCGGCGTACTGTCGGATGCTCAGGCCCTGTAATCCTCCTCAAACAATAGTGGATGTGAGAATAGAAGGGAGGTTAAGCCCTGTAGGTATTTTGTTACCATGTGCTCGGGCATTTAAATGCACAGAGGGATAGTTGTGTTTTGCCACTCACTCGAACTGGAGATTCATTTGTATTCGCTACCAATTATGAAAGGTTTTTTCTGCTGCATATTAATTTTCTTTTTTGTAAGTTGGCATAAAAGCGTACGTAGAGAATGTACATATCCATTTTCTCTGCCCCTTCTCTCGTTCTGCCATTTGGACCTTCACATCACTATTCCTTTACATCTCTGACACTGTGTTTGTGTGGTGCACGGTTTAATTAAAAACCATCGCATCCTGCTGCTGCTTCTCTTTCATAGCTTCATGTGAAAACACATGCACTAGACTTCAAAGTGCATCCCTCACTGATTAAGTGAATTCTTGTTTAAATGCATGTGTCACACATACTGACGTTGGACAGCTGTGTCGCCTCCTGAAATATCCTCAGCCTCTTTGCTGACAAAGTTACTGACATTCCCTAACATTGCGGTTCAGGGATGAACCAGAGAAGGTTGGTGTAAAACAAATCCTTCCTTCCACAGGCATGTTGACATCTGATTCCAATAAAGATATCTGTTTTTTTTGTCGTATGCTGACAATTTTCGTGTGTTCAAGTTAAATGGGCTAAATGATGATGTAGGCCACAGAGGTGGGAGGACCAGGAGGGGCTCAGAGAATGACTACAATGAGGAAGTTCCCTGGATACACGTGCTGCAACAGACGACTCTTGGTACACATTCCACCACAGAGGGGTCATGAGAGCAGATTCCACGGTGCCTGTCTGAGGGGGGAGAGGCTGCTGGGTCCATCCTCTTTTCAGGCCCCGACAGCAGCTGCTCTGCCTGGCTTGGGCGCAACAGTGACCTCACACCCCGGAGATATTTTAAAGGGTGCCAGTCAGCACGGGGATGAGCTCTGACTAGGTAGGAGCTCGACAAGTGCAGTTTTAACACATCTGCTGCACAATGTTCGAGAGATCCGAGGGAAATCCAACAGTGGTGTAAGAAAAAGTATCTACTTGCAAGTTGGTCGGTTTTCAGAGCCCCTTAGTGGGAAATGATCCGTTAGACAGCTCTTTCTTTCCTTTTCTGTTTCTTGTTTCTTGCAATGCTGCGGCATTGCCCTATTCCCCGTTTCTCGTCATCTGGCACTCAGAGAAAGATGCCGAATGTTTCCTGTAACAAAGACAAGACTCTACACGTCCCGCCAGAGAGCCAGGCACTCAACCCGGCTGATTCTAAAGACATCGCCACGGAATCACTACCTCCTCAGAAAGTACTGAAGATATTCAGCATCAACATCATTGCTCAGGGTTTGCCTTTCTATCGTAGACGGGTGAGTGTTGTACAAATTCAGCCAGCCACAGAGTTTGGGTTTGGTTTAACTGCCGATCCTGAAATGCCAGAGGTCATCGAACACCCTTACCCCTTTTCACCTTGGTTGGTGTTGCTTTTATAGCTGCCTGTTTATAGAAAACGGCAAATCAAAAAAAATTAAGCTGCTGTGTTGCTTTCGTTCGTTACTACTCTAGTAATAGTTTGCATTGACAGGGTTATAACTGAGTAAAGCGAATGTTTTTCTGACAAATTTTAAACGTAAGCGACTTGTTTTTGTTACATGCTACAGATAAATTAAAAATCTTGACCTAACCCCCACTCCTTTTTTCCCTTTTTTACATCTCTTCTTTCTTTTTCCACAGTACGTTGATTAATTGGTAGTGATATGACTAGTTAAAAATTGCAAACGCAAATACAAATTTGTCCTTTTGTCATCTCACTATGCACTGGTACAAGCTTCGCGTGCCCCAGCTCCACCCATGGCAGGGGACGGACACCAGCTTATAGCCTTAAAAAGGCCGTAAACTACGAGCCTATTTTTAGGGGAAGTTTTGGATAAAGTATTGATTAAATGGAAAACCTTAAAACAAAAGTGTCTTCAGCTGTTGACTTATGATAGGCTATAGAGCAACTGATCCTGCCTTCTATGACATTTGTTTTGTTGGACTTTTTTCTTTTCTTTTTTGTTAATTGGCAAATACATTTGCATTTGTTTGTTTGTTTTTTAATTTTAATGTAGAAATCAGTATTGTTGGTTGAAGCCATAAAATTACGTTACTACTTAATTACGACATTAGTTAAGTTGCCTGTAATGGTAACACTGCTCGTGTTGAAACTTTACTTTGACACATGTGCTCACTGGAATCGGTGTGATAATTTAATGTGATTGGAAATTAATGAAATCAGATTGCCAGAAATCAGCTTCCCAAATGAAAACAAAAAAACTTTAAGACCACCTTATTGTCAGATTGAATGCATAAAAGTACAATTCAAAGTCTGTAACACAGTTGAGGGTTGGTTTCGTTTTCACAATTTTGCAATGAAGCGACTAATACAGGCATTAATGTAGTCATTTTATCTTGTCAAACTTTTTTTTTTTTTAAATTGTCGGTAAGAAGGAATGTGTGGTTTGTTAGTTCTTTTTGTTTTGTTTTTTCTCTTAAAATGTTACTTAAAATCAACTTCATTAGCTGGAAAGCTTTCTTATTGTACTCAGCAACATTGTGCTCACGCTCCTGCTTCCATTTAAAGAATCTGATTTGTTGGGGAACTTAAATGTTACCTACTGTAATATCTTAGAGCAGTGACAGCAGATGTTTTTATAGAGCCATAATTGTCCTGGTGACCTTTCGCCAATTATCTGGGTGCTGTGATTGGAGTTATAGATAGACTAGTCAAAAATGTCACCACTGGATCTGCCACAAAAGTCTGAAGAGGAGACTGATGGTGAGGAGAGAGGTTGTGAAATATGGACTGAAATAGAAATGAGAATAGATGTGACAGTCACTGGGGAGGGTCGGCTTGTCCTTTTCTTCTTCTCGGGTTTTCTTCCAGAACAAAGCAAGCTGCTTTGTTGATTCGATTTTTGAAACGAAATGTCTGTTAAGATTTGTGCCTTTTATGTAATGGCCTGTGTCATACGTTAAAAGGATAAACTGTGGTACGTCACAACAGGCAGTTTCTTCAGTTTAAACAGGAACAGGATGGGTAAATAAAGCAGTGTGTTCTAACAGAGTTCAAACCTTCATTGCACTTTGTTTTACAGCAAAGTGTTTTATTATCTCTAATTACTATGTATGAATATAGCCTGTAGTTTCCATGCTGACTAAAAATGTCAATACAATACAATAAAACCCATTCTATGTGAATGTAGTATAGTAGCAGCGTGTAAAAAATTTAAATAGCTCAGCAAATTAAATGGAACAAAATAAAATACAATAAAACTGCTAAAAAAGAGGATAAAGAAAAGTTGATTAGCCATTTTTCCAAATCTGAATTATATCTGCCACATCATCATTTATTTATTTGCAGTTTATTGCTTAAAATTGTATTGTGCAGTTTTATTTAGGTTTTTCAGGAGAAACAAAATAACAAAGATGTAGAAGTCTGGAACTCGTGTATCAAATATGGTACACTTGGCTTTCAAGCATTAAGCAAGAAAACTGCAAAAATGATCTAAGAGGTAAAGTCAAAGGATGAAACTCTTCTATCTAGGGCTGTGCGATATGACCGAAATCTCATACCCCGATATTAAGACATCTATCATCCGATAACGATATAAATCACAAGAATGTAACATTTTCTGTAAATTCTGTGAATCTCGGGCAGCTCAACTCGGGGAAGTGTTTCCAGCTGGGCGTCTCGTACCTGGAGTCGAGTGTTTTAACCGATGCATGAAACGATACATTTTTAGACATAAGTTGTAACGGCCGCCATTTTCTTTGTGAGTATTTATTACATAGCGTGCTGCGGGGAAAGCCTGTTCTAACGTTTGAGTCTAAGGTTTATTTGTTAGCACCTGACGGCTCTTTTTTGCTTCTCATCCGTAAACACTCTGCATACTCTTTCACGTGATTCAGTTTATTTTGAAAAGTCTCAACAGGATCTTGAACTTTATTGTGAAAGGTTAATGTGGAAACTAAACCAGCGGACATGCGATGGTTTTGCTGTCGTTGTTGCTAACGACAATGCATAAAAACAGGTGCTTGTCCATCTGTAGTGTGGTTATATTAAAAATAAGACAAAGAGAGAACTTTAGGAAATTAATATAGCCACTACAGTGACCATCAAAACCATGAAAAAATATTGCCCTAAACAGTTTATTTTACGACACCACAAAACAAACGTTAGCGTGAAAAAATGAAACGAAAGACGTTTTTATATCGTTATCCGATATATACCGTTATATCGAACAGCCCTACTTCCATCTTCATCACTGTTTATGCAGCAGACTCGGCATTGGAAATACCAAAGCATATGTGCTTTGTTTAAGAATGCTTTTGTTTTACTATTTCGTTGGTTTAACATGCACACGTATGTCTGAAAAGAATCTTGAGCTTCCATGTTGTTTAATTTGGAGTAAGAACTAAATGGAAATGTCCCACAAGACCGGTTCTTGCTTACACTGCCGCATGTAGAGCACATGCAACGTGGACTATGCTGCATATGTGACAGCTGTCAGTGAATGGCATAGCAGGGGTTTCTTATGGTCTCTGTGGTTTAGTATAACCTGGGAGTATGAATGCATTTTAAGCTTGGACTTTCTGCTTTCTATCTTTTTTTTTTTCCGCTTGTTAAAGAGGTTTTACTAAGAGGTTATTTCATGCATCTATATGTCTGCTGAGTATCTCAGAGGGTTGCACTCAGGCTCTAAACCTTCTCATACTCTGCTGATTAAAAATGAAACTACTTTTAGTTGCTCCCTTATTAAGAAGAGGTCTCCACAGCGGGTAGCTCCACATGTTGGTTTTGTTTTTTTTGTTTTGTTTTTTTTAAAACACCAGATGCCCTTTCTGACACACCCCAAAGGGTTTTGTCTCCTCCCAGGATCAAACCTGAGATCTTTCACTTGTGAGGCAAACATATAAACCACTAAACTTTGGAGCTACTGCTGTGCTGATTAAAATAGTCTTGAATTACTCCAGTATTAAGGTGACCAGGGGAATCCGCACTGCCATCTCCTCCAACAGCTTGATATCTATTCTGGCTGCCGGAAACATAGTCACGATATAGAACATTAACAGCAGGACATTTTAGTTGGGGTATTAATTTTCTCAGCCACCACACCCTGCACTGCAGGGCTGTTGAGTAAGGCAATCTATTCTTGCCCATAGCAGCTATGCCTGCATCAACGGCTATCAGCAAGAAGCATCTGTGGTTTGAGCAGGTGCTGCGGGCATGCTACAACTTTCTTTAGCAAGTTTCTCACACCTCAGTCTCCTGTAGGTTTGTCCATGAGTAAGTTCAATAGTGATACAGATCTATATATTGGCCTGCTTTAGACTGTTCATTAGGATTGTGAATTTTAATTACACCAGTGGTTAACTGGGCCGAGCCTTTTCCAGTCAGATACAGTTGTTGGCATTTTAACTGCTCTCTTCTAGAAAAACTACAAACCTGCTACTGTTATGAAAACCTTTATGGTTGTTATGGCAGCAAAGATCTGATGCTTGTTTTTCAGGTTGTATCTCTACAGCCTTCTCTCCTAGTTCCCTTGGGCACTTTAAGATTATATGTGTCATCAGTTTTATGATGATGCATATAGTTTAGGAACATCAGGTGCGATTTGTAGTCATATTTTATATGTAGTCAAAGAATTGGTCATAATAAACAAGATTCTTCACTGTGTGTATTATGACTGCGGACATGCATAGAAGTAAACTCTCGCTTGACTAGTTGGTGATGGCATACATGCGCAGGTCAGTAAATCTGGTTTCCTGTCTATTTTTGAGAACATGTGCCTGGAGACACTGAAGCCGCGCTCACTTTCGATTCGAGTCGTGTGTCCCTGACCGGTACGTGACAACTAGGGTGACATGATATACACACCGGATTCTGCTCCTTGGAGGTCAGATGATTTGATGGAGGCTCAAGTGTTATTTGTCTTTGGTCAACTGTTTTCCGTTCTGAAAACCTTGATTTCACCTCAGTTTACTGCAGTGTTTTGACTGTGCTTGCTTATTTTTAGCAGAGGAGGACAGAACTTGGCTTCCCAATTAAATTTTTGACGGTACACACTAGATGCGCTATTTACAAGACTGTGTAACAGGAGCAAAATGCAGTTCTCTGCTGCTTTATAATGAGAAATGGTCACAGCAAAAACACGACTACAGCAACACTGAAATTGCCTGATTTAAAAATATGGACTCTGTTAACAAGATCAGCAAGACCATTTAATTGATCTTTATTATGCACTGTCCACTTTAAGTAAGGTAAATTATTCTGAGTGCCCAGCGTATTTGGAATAATTTAATTTTAAACTATCTTTTTTCACCTTAA